GAATGACCTGAATCGCCAACCAGGCAGCAAGATCGCGGCTCAAGGACACGCCTGCGATCGATATCAACCGACCCGAGGTAGAGTGAAGAAGTTCCACGCTATCTCAAGCCCCTGCGTCCCCACCTTCGCCGATAGACATCGCACGAGTCACCCAGGAGAGCGTAACCCGCCCGCCGTTGGGTACACAAGGTGAGAACAAGAACACAACCGGATCACGGATCATCGGAGGACCCCCTTCGTTAGTCGGTGTCCGGGCGCCAGTGGTATCGGGAACCGCGTCAACAAGATTTTTACGGATTCCGCTTCGCCACAATGGTGCGCGTGCCCGGATCTTTTGGTGACTCGGGATTTCACCGTGAATCCCAAGAAGATGTCAAGGTCAAAGAAGAACACAGGGAAGAAGTGCCTACGAATGTTGGATCGACGGAGGCATCGCTGAATAGAGCAAGATCCACAGATCAGCGGAGTATGGAGAGGATCTCTACTGACAGACACGAGGCGGACCTGGATCAAAACTCAGATCTTGAAGAAAAGCCTCGAATTCCGCTCACGGCCGCCTCGGCGGTCACCGCGAATCTTGATGAGAATCCAGATCCGTACACAACCGTCCACAGGTCTCCGACATGGAGATCCCGGTGGATCCTGACTCGCGTCAAGATTCGCTAACAAAACAAATAAAGGTGAAGGCTGAACCTTATTCATCTATTGATCCGGATAAGCCGACACTATGTATGCCCAAGGATCCGCAAGTCTCGAGATCCGAAATCGGAAAACCAAGATCCAAGACTTTGCGGACGAAGATGAAGGCTCCTGAGTATGAGGAGGATGGAGATCAAGACGGATCCAGATGGTCTCTCGAGGGTCTGAAATACTTGTATCACCGGAAGGAGCTACGGGATTTCGTACGTCAGGGTCCGGTGATGAAAATCCTGAAGCTGAAGCGGATCGCGGAGCCAAAGGATACTGTAACTGCCCCAGCTATTGTAACCAACAAGCTCGACGCAGTAACGGCCCTGATCAAGCTGCTGAAGGAAGCCGGCATGATCCCCGGATCCTTCGAGACGGATGATCTGTTCGTCCTGGATCTGACCGTGATACAAGCCACAAGCCGAGATCTCTTCGGAAAGCTGAAGATCCTGGTTGGCGAAGTTCCTCAGATCGCGGATCCGGTATCATCACCCCAGATCGACGTAGTGGACAATCTCCGGCCGAAGGCGGATCCGGCACCTCATCGGAACCCCGGCGCATGTCGCTGGGACCTTCAGGTGCGGCAATGCTGGAGGCGAGATCCAACATCCGGCGTCCAAGCCCAGCCAGATCTGGCAGTCAGCCTAAGGGATCAACACCGACTGATCAAGCCACAATCACTTCGAGCTCGGATCGGTCAGCTGGAACGCTCCAGAAGTTCTTCAACGCAATGATGGATCGGTTCCTAGCTGAACAACAAGCGGCAGGTGCGGATTCAGTCGTTGTGAAACCTCAGAACGCCGGATCGCGGGATGTCGACTTGGAGTCGATCCGATCATCGGATCACGGATCCAATTAGAAATATGATCCGGATGACATCGACTTCCCGGGGCCCGACCAAGCGGCCGTGGCTACAGCCGCATCCGGATCCACTGGATCCACCATGATCCAACGAGTCCGAATCTCAGCGATCTCGGATCTAAAGAAGTTCTCAGGAAAGGATCCGGTCGAGGATCGAGCACGAGCGTGGATCAGCAAGGTGAAGTCGGCCCTCATGCGAGATCAAGCATCAGACGAAGGGAAATGCTTGACTTTCGCCGATTTGCTTGCGGGATCCGCGAAGAACTGGTACCACCAATTGAGCCGATCCACACGTAACAAGTGAAGTGATCTGCTGCGCAGCTTCCACATCCAGTATTGCGGACTTGGAAGATCAGTAGCGAGGCAATATTATCATGCGCGTCGCAGATTCGATGAATCGTCGCTGACCTACCTGTACCGGTTGAACGTTGCTGGATTGCGTGTTCGACTCAAGCTCAAATATGGTAGTACCAAGGATCGGCACGAACATGTGGATCACTTCATTGAAACACTGGAGGATCAGGATCTGGCGGATCGGCTGACATTATTACGACTATCAGATGCAGATGATCTGGAAGAAGTTCTTCGCGCCCGTGATCGGGCCAAAAGCCGACAGAAGAAGGCTGCGTTCGGATACGGCAAGCACCGACAAAAGGTATTCAATGCTGCATGGTCGGCTCTGGCCAAACAAGTGCGAGCGATCCGGATCCAGGCTGTTGACTCCGGATCCGATTCTTCCGATGGATCGGACGGATCCGACTCTGAGATGGATAGTCATCGCCGGATCTACCTTGCTGCGAATCAAGAAGTCACTCCGAAGGAGGAAAGCGAGACGATCATGCCGGATCCGGGACATCAGGATCCGGTATCTATGAACCATATCCACCAGGAGCACCGATCCAAGATCCAGAGTGATGTATTCAATCGTAACCGATGCTCGCACTGCGGATCCAAGAAGCATTCAAATCTCGGATGTTGGAGACGCGTGACTTGTACCAAGTGCGACAAACGAGATCATCCGGCGGATCATTGCCTTTTTGTATGTCGCGGATGTGACGAGCTCCATGACATGGGCAAATGACCGATGAAGGAATTTTACAATCAGATCCGCCAATGATTCAATCCGACCAAACCCATGGGCATGCTGCCAAAAAGATGTTAAACTAGGACGCTCGTCGGGGTGGAATCCGATACGAGCCGAGCATTCTAGATATTGCATCTATGCATTTGTGCATAAGACATCGGTAGGTCCAGTTAGCAAGCAGCGAGATCTACCCGATAATACACGTGATCTGCATGGGAATCATACCTTCGCGATCTCCAGTCTCCGTCAAGCTGATGAATATGTATGTGGCCATGACTGTGTATATTCACCCAGGAGAATCCAGAGGTTATTGGAAGCAGTAGGATTCGGATCTGGGGTTCAAGACTGCGGATAAGGAGACTACAACCGAGATCACGAAGCCTAGTCGGATCGCGGAGTATCGACGATCCGCATCAACATTGGATCTCCTACCGGGAGAATCCCGCGGGTACTGGAAATACCATGCTCCTGGTAAGTGGTTTCGTCAAGCCAAGATCGTCGGCAAGATCCATAATGAGAAGGCGATCTTACTCCTAGTTTCTGGTGTCGAGGTGTCCATCGTGGATACCGCGTTAGCTCGTAAGGTTGGGTGCTACATCGACTCGAGTCAGATCCAAGATTGTGTGGGGATCTACGATAATGTGTATCGAACGGAAGGAAGGACGCAGATCACGCAGGATCGTTGGTGTATTTCTTCGATATCTGGGTGGGGGATCTCTCTGGGCAAGAAGCTATCCTAGGCATGGACTTCATGGTTCCGACCGGGATCCGCCTGGATCTCGCTCACGGATCCATCAGCTTGCCCGACGAAGTCCGGATCCAGCTTAGCGGGAGGCGACAGCTTTACAGCGACAAGGCCAGGATCGTGAATCTTGGGCAATACCTGAGGATCCAGTCAGGAGAATCAGTGGAGCTTCCCTTACGCCTGAGGATTTCGGATCATGAGAAATTCTGGGTCACCCGTGGAGATCATTGGGTTCCCACGATAGTCCATGGTCCAGGGAAGATCCGATACATGAGGATCACGGACGTCGGCGACAAGGTTTTGATCCTCCATCACGACTTGCGGATCGGGATCTGGCTCGCCGGCAATCATTTCCCGCGACTGCCAGGTTTCATCTCAGTAGGGTCCCGGCACTACATAGAGTGGCAAAATCTGGCCCTCGAAGCGACAGTGGTTCTCCGATCTGCAGGCCCGGCCGGACCCGGATGCTGAAGATCCGCCGAGGCCTGCAGTGGAGCACGCCGAGTATGAAACCCCGCACGAAATACTGCAACGACCAAGACCGACAGCGATCAAGTGTCTGAAGGGCGGATCAAGTGGAGATCAAGAAGAGGTCTCTGACCACCCGCCTTCGGATATTCCGCCGTCGGACAATCGCCCGCTGGATTGTCGACCGTTGGATGTGGCGTCTGTCGCAAGTGATGGGTCGGATCTGTCGTCTATCGCAGATGACGACTCTATGTCACACGTTGTAACAGTCGTGAAAGCGCTGGACGATCAGGATCCAAGCGTATCAGGTATTACAACGGTGCGTCTAGCCCTGGTCGAGGATCCAGCCGTGGAAACAGTATTGGCAGATGAAGCCCCAAGTGGTGTAACTGGTGCGGATCAAGATCCACCA